TGATGATTTAGGTGTCACTGATCACCACAGACAGGTGGGGGCGTGAGCGAGCGTGAACTGACAAGCGCGATGCAGGAGCGCGACTTTTACTTCGCGCAGCACATGGCGCTCACCAAGCAGCTGGCTCAGGTGGCCGCTACAGCTGGTGCCGACGCTCCTAGGAACACTGTGAGTCTTGCAGCTGGTATAGCCTCAGTTGCTTTATTCTCTTAGCTGTAAACTCTTGTATACAAAAACTCAAAGTTGGAATGATCACTTGTTCGATGTTGCAGTGTCTCACTTCTGAATGGTTCTGCTCTTAGAGATCGTATGATCACTTGATCTATGGTTCTACCAAACTCTGATCACTTGGTCGAGTTGTGAATGGTTCTACCACTATTAAAGCTTCGAGATATTACTTGTTATAGAGGCTGTATATGAATATGTGTAGAGGCTGTATGATCACTTGTGAATGGTTCTACCAGAACTAATAGTTTGAATGATCCCTCGCTCGATGTTGTACTGTGAATGGTTCCAAGTGGTTCTTCCTATAGAATTGGAATGGTCTCTCGATCGATATTGGATTACTTTATATCGTGCATTAAATTTAATATGGTTTTTTAACTATTGTATATAATTTAATTTTTGTGTAAGAATTTTCTTTTTCCCCGACAAGTGATCGATGATAAATTCGATTAGTTTCTGCTATTTTATGTCCACTTTTGATTGTCAAATTGTCCGAATTTTTAATTTATATAAATTATTATTTGTCTGGCAGCGAGAGGAGTTCGAGACGCTGCTGGTGGAGAAGCGCGCCGCCGTGGTGGAGAGGGCCGAGCTCGAGGCGCGGGTCAGAATAATATACTATATCTTTTAAATATACCTATATAATTATATACTATCATATATAATAATATCTATAATACCTGTATTATATAATATTAATATTATATATTTACATAATATAATATATCTCTTTCGTTCTGGATAGAATGATCATTAATTCTTCCTATTAGCTTGTATTGAATACGCTAAATTACACGAGGAATTATTTTGTCAATGTTATTTATTTGTTGCATTGTCCAGGCGCGCGCTCTGTCCGAGGAGCTGCAGCAGATGTCGGAGGGCCGACGAGACGCGGAGAAGAAGAATAGTCAACTTCAGGCCGCCCTGCAGAAGTGCTTACAATACATTAAATATAGTAGTGTTGATAATAAACTAATTCATCTAATAATTGTTAATAAACTAGCTGCAATCATTCATGTTACTCTATATTATTATAGCTTGTAAATGATGCATGTTGCTCTATATCATAGCTCTTAAATCAAGCATGTCGTTCTATATTATAGCTCGAAAATGATGAATGTTTGTGAATAGGTGTTCCTGATGTATCAGTTGCATGAAAAAACTCATCTGGATAGTATGTACTTGTATAGGAAGGACACTTCTTTGCTGCAGCTCTGTACTATCGGATTACTGATGTGCGATACAAGTAGTATTCAACAAATGTCTTCTAAGAGCGATAAAATTTTGAAGTATACAATACTTCAGAACTCATGGATGGGCATTCGCTTCGATGCGAGATATGAAGCTGATATGAACGATGGAGCTGGACTCCGAAACATTTTCTCTTATAAAAATGGTGAACTTTTTGGCGATTTTTTTTGCTTTTAAATTGCTGGTAAATTTGCGATTTAAGCAACCAAGTGATTTTAATGCTCAAGTTGATATCTCTTATGGTCGAGGTGGCGTAATACGAAGGAGCACTTTTTACATGGCGAGGAAAACTCTAGGCAGATCGGAATCATGGGTATATGTCGGCATAGTCAAGTTGTTTGCGTGAATACATCAGCTGCTTACGACTTAAACATCAGCTGTTTACGACCTAAACTTTATAAGTTTATTTCCAGGCTTTAGCTGATACCTCTCCGTTTTTGTTTTATACTTGTTCTCTTCTGTGTGATCACTCACTCACCCCCACTCGATCCCAAGTCAATTCCCACTCTCCCGCAGACTGCAGACGGCGGCGCTGCAGCAGCTCCCCCCGTCATCACAGGAGTTCATCGCTGAGGTCCGCAAGAGTCGCGACGCTGCCCTCGCTGACCTTGACCTCGTCAAGCGTGACCGTGACCTCCTGCGTGCTGACCTCAAGGTCAGCTCGGTGGTCTTTATATGGTTTAATAAAATAATTTAGCTTTAGACTTAAGTATTTAGGTTGCCAGCTTAGGCTTAGGTCTTGCTCATGTCACCTCGTCACAGCTACGTAATATATTATTCAAATATTTTATTTTATATTAGTAATTACATCACAGCGTGGTCTTCACATGGTTAATAAATTATTTAGTTTCAAATTTAAGTATTTAGGTTGCAAATGTGTTTTAAATTATCGGATGAATGCGAAAAGTTCAATTCTGCAGAAATAATCATGTTTTCCGAAATTTCGAGTCCATTTTACTCGAAGAAAAGCGATATGATCAATGCAAGCGAAGATCACGTCAATGTAAGGAATTACCCCACGCAGGAGGCAAACCTTTATTAGAAAACGAAATATGAATTAATATTATAATTAATTTATTATTCATTATAATTAATTAATTAATAAATTCCTCTGCCGACAAACGGAAGGAATCTAAAATTTTAAGCGAATAAAATGTAATGTTCAAGGCTGGGCTTCCATTTAGTTGATCAACCGATAGCAAAAGACGCCTAACGATATAGCTTTACAGAAATTCTGTGGTTAACAGGCCTGTCCACGATCATCTGAAGTCAAGAATCAGGGTGGCAGTTTTGGGCCGTGATTATACTGATTCGTAGAATATACTATAATAATATACTGGTGAAACAGAGCGCGTTCTACGCTACAAATCTAACAAATTTGCTCTCAAGCATAGCAACTATCATGCATATATCAGATATGCCCAAATTGAGTATTTATATAGAAATCTCACCTTAATTATTCAAAAATAAGTGCCAATTTGGTACCTATTAATTAGACGAGCGGTGACGTAGTTTTAATTGTGCGAGATTTAAAGGTCAAGTTGAACTTCAATTTTGAGTTCAAAGCGCCAAGGTTAGTATTAACACCGTGGCACAGTATTTGAGGTTACTAGATCGGGGACGTAAGAATCAATGACAGCCTAACCCGATCTTTCGCCAATCTAAGTTGCTTAGGAAGCCTAAGCTGATAAAGCATGAGCATTTCAGGTAGCATCTCGAGTTGATTATTAATCAATGAGTAGGTAACTTGTACGGGAATTACCTAGTCGCAATCATATTTTGCGGGCGTGCAAATGTGTCACTTTATGAGTCGCTAACAGGCACCTCATAACTAAAAATCGCTTTACTAGAATTGTGCACAACAACTTAGGACCATTTTAAACATACCCAAAAAGAAAAAAAAATGTTCATACGAAGCTCCACACTTTGAACTTTAACGGCACAGGTCGTTAAAGTTCAAATGATGACTTGTACATAGTGCCTAGCAATATTATAAATTTAGGTTATTATATAGTCATTATAGATGTCGATGCAGTATTTGATGAAATGCAAGCACAAACAGCGCTAGTTATCTCATCATATCTTATTGTTTATTGTTATTGTCGATAGTTATCTTATCTTATTGTTCATCTTATTATCTTATTGTTTGTTAAATGTTGTTGTTAGGTTTCTTGAATTGTTGGTTAAATGTTGTTGTTTACCAGAAAATATCAACGCAAACTGCTCGGGAAGGCGCCTCTGCAAACGAGCTGCAGCGCGCTCTGCAGCAGAAGGTGCAGCAGAGCAGCAGGATAGTGTCAGAGCAGCAGCAGCGTCTGCAGGCACAGACCGACGTGCTCACGGGTCTGCAGGGGCAGCTGCAGAAGCTGCAGGACCAGCTGCAGGCTGTCAATAAGCAGCTTAGAGAATCAAACGCCATCAACAATCAACTTAGGTGAACTTTTCCTGATGTGAATTGTTATACAATTATCATCGATCTCCTTGTTCTATTTTATGCCGACAATTTTTAGCGCATTTTCTCATTTATGGAAAAGATGCCCCATTGTGCTCGTTATGTCTGTCTGTCCGTCCGTGACTTCACGTTTTCGTCGACGAGAAAATGCGCTCTATGTCACTCACTGCCGTGAGTATTGAGTTATATTTTCTAATTTTTTTCAGATATCGCGAGATACAAATTTAGGGGAGCTTTTTGCGATGATGATTAAAAATTATTGGTTAAATTTAGTGAGGGGGAAGTTTCTATTTTATTCATGTTATTTATTTATTCTCGGATATTCGAAAAGAAGAGAATTGAAGTCGCAATGTCATGTTTTCTCGTCACTGCCTCAGCTTTTATTTGATAAATTTTTATGGTACAATTCTTGATATTCATTATTATTATTTTTTACGATACATTTGTCGTATTTCTACGTACATTCTCTTCATGGTTTAGGATCTGCTGCCGCCCGATTTTTTAAGATAAAAACAGCAGCTGAGGCTGCGAAGTTAGGCGGAATGGACCAAAAATTTATACACGTGTCTGAGGTTATAAATGTATTCGTAGGTATATTATTTACAAATGTATTCATGCGCTGATTAACAATTTAAAAAGATTAAATTAGTAATGTATTTTCTGATTCCAATTGCCAGATCTCAGCTAAGCAGCAATGCAAACGAGCTGAGCGAGCAGATCAGTGAGCTGGAAAGACGCAACAGGAATTTGTCAGCTTCTGACAACCGCATACGTCAGCTCACTGACGAGTGCTCTGAGCTGACGGCTGACGCTGAGCGGCTGAGACGTGAGCTGCTCAAGCTGAAGAGCGTGCACGCTGAACTCGAGGAAGAGCATCGGCGCTGCCTGGTGAGTTGAAATTGCTGATAAATGTGAGATTGTGTGCATCAAACTTTGAATAGCGTTCACAATCTGAAATTGACTTGTAATTGAAATTGACTTAAATGAATTAAAATTGTTGTAAAGAAAATAAAGTTTCTTTACTGAAATGAATTGCTGCTAAAATGTGAGATTGTGCATAAAACTTTAAATAGCGTTTACAACTTGAAATTTACTTAAATAAATTAAAATTGTTCTAAAGAAAATAAAGTTTCTTTACTGAAAGGAATTGCTGCTAAAATGTGAGATTGTGTGTATCAAACTTTAATTGTCGTTCACAATTTGAAATTGACTTAAAATGAATTAAAATTGCTCTAAATAAAATAAAGTTTCTTTACTGAAATGAATTGCTGTTAAAATGAGATTGTGTCTAGAAAACTTTGAATATATATCGTTCACAATTTGGAATTGATTTAAATGAATTAAAATTGTTCTAAAGAAAACAAAGTTTCTTTAATGACATGAATTTGCATCATGTAGTAATTTCTGCGATTAATATAAATAAAAATGTAGTAGATTATTGAAATTTATCATGGAAAGTCATCGTGTTGTAATTTATTTGGATTATTTACAACATTTAATTGTACTTATCATTCCAGTAATAACGATGAAAATTATTCTGTCTTCCGAACATCCCTAATATTCAAACATTCTGCAAAATAAATTCACGAGGTCGAATGAAATTCTGAAAAACTTTGTAATATTGCGGTGAAACTGGAACTCCAATCCGCGAGAAAAACGGTTCTGATGCTGCAGTTTTTCAGCTGTTGAATACGAATCCGGAGTTTTGCTGCTGGTTCGTTATGGGTGGGCAATCCGGAGTTTAGCTTCTGGTTCGTTATGGGTGGGCAATCCGGAGTTTAGCTTCTGGTTCGTTATGGGTGGGCAATCCGGAGTTTAGCTACGGCTTGGTTGTTGTTGCGCAATCTTACTTTTGTGCCACAATTCCAGGATGAGCTGACAACGAAGAAAGAGATTGTGTCAGCTCAAGCAGGGCAGCTACAGCAACGAGCTGAAACCATCAGCTCTCTGCAAGCTGATATTGTCAGACTTGAGGCACAGATAACGTGAGTAACTTAGCATGTTTAAGTGCCTCTATGATGATTTTGTTCTGTCTGCACCTGATGATTTAGGAGCCTCTATGATGATTTTGTTCTGTCTGCACCTGATGATTTAGGAGCCTCTATGATGATTTTGTTCTGTCTGCACCTGATGATTTAAGAGCCTCTATGATGATTTTGTTTTGTCTGCAACCGATGATTTATGTGCTACCGTGAACGATCTATTCTGCTAGCGCCTGACGAGATCTATCATTCCTGAAACATCTTCATCATGAAGTAATGTGTAAATGAAACTTCCAATCGTTTTCGCGTTTGTAATTCTCATATTTAGACATCAAAAACCTTAATTCTGTACAGGAATATTATAACAAATTCACTTGCGGGACTTTCTCAAAAGAATGTGAAAGTCGACTTATTCGAACGACTATTACATCATTACAATTCCTTCGTGTTGAAAGTATTTCTACAGTGATTTATTTGAATTAATTCCGATATTTTAACAATTGTTTGTAGTTGTCTAGACAGTGTTTCCTCTTTTATAGTGCTCTGGCAAGCACGTCTAAAGCGTTATGAGACGAACGCAATAATATCAAAAATTCTCTAAATTTTTGGACGCTCGTTTGCAATTACGCTAATTTAACAAAGAATTTTAATTAAATATCTTATAGCTTTCACCAATACAATGAGGTTTTGGTTGTGGGATTTTATTGGATTGTAATATTTTGTAACTAGGATAAATATTTGACCAGATTGATGTAAACTAAGCTTAGTAGAAATAATTTGACGACAAAGCTAAATTGGTGGCGCACTATTCTAAATAGATCATATGCAGGATATCTGAACTACTTCGAAACTGTCTCGTAATCGCTCACCTTACGCGAGTCTGAAAATAAAGACAGGGAGGAAAAGCTGACGCTAGGCCAGATGCTGCAGTAATGCCCATTGATTAAACTATAGGGTTTATAGCAGTGCGCTGTGCTCTTAAATTCTATGTGGGATCAGTAATAAAGGAGCGACTCATTTGGCATGATGGTCAAATGGACCTGAGTCTAAAACTAAACTTCACTGAACTTTCGGCGAACACGACTAAGCTGTGGGAGAACATCACTGTACTCTGGTTAAACATTTGGGAGATAAAAACCAAGGACCGCAGTGTCATGAGTATTAATGAATTCGTAACTCCATTAGCCTACTGACGACTTCTCGAGCTAAATTCACCAATCCCAGACGAGAAATCGGCTGCTACGTGTACTTAAGCGAGTACGACCCCCAGACACTCAAATAACTTCGAAAGTGAGACCTTCAACAAGATTGTGGCATACCACAGCGAGGGGAGGGAGCGACTGTGCATTGAAGAGTTCGTACTCTCAGGATGGGATGAAGTGTGGTGGGACCGAAGATGGGGTGTGAAATTAGCATGGCGGAAGCTCGCTTCAAAGTCCTTCAAGAAACAAATGTATAAACTTATTTAGTAAAATCCCTGATCGCCTGGATCTGCTGCAATATCATGTACAATAAACAAACAGCAACGTTTTGCATCAACTGGTCGAGCTCAGATGTGCGTTAGTAACGTTGTGTTGCCTCCATGGTCTCGGTGGCGGGGACGACCTGTCTGCCGATGGCTGGAAGATGGCGGACGACGAGAGTGGTGTATCAACATGGCCGTGGACGCAGACGTCCAAAATTTCACATATGGGAATCACTGAACTTTGAGCGATTATGACTAAGCTCTTGGTGAATATCACTGAATTCTTTGTGTACATCACACAATTCTGGATAAACCTCTTAGAACTATGACTGAACTTCAAACTCGTCTAGGTAACCCATCACAATTGCATTCTAGGCCGTCTTGTTCGCCGTGTGATGAGTCCTCTGTGCGTGAGGCGAGCGATCCTCGTGCTGATGTCATCGTCTCCACCCAACGCATGGGTGTCAGACCCCACGTCTGCAGGCTCCTCGATGCTGTTGACCAAGCCTCTGCTCGACGCGCCCACTGCCCTCATCGCTTCAAGTGTCCGTTTGGTCGGCCGAGGCGTCGTTGTGGTGGTTGTTGTGGCTCTTATGAAACGAGCAATGGTAGTTAGTGGCGATGAAGAGTCATCTTTAAGGCTTCTGGCTCGAGGAAACATCACACTGTTGGTTAAGTCTTCGTCTTGTTCTTGCGTCGGGGCCATGAGGTTTCTACTGATCAGGTCGCGGATAATGTCAGCTGCTGTGATGCGTTCACAGCGGCCTTTCCAGCGAGTATAGCCACGTCTGCGGTCACAGGAACAAGCAAGGCCTTTGGTGGGGCTGAAGGTGACCACATGTCGCGGGGGACACGGTCCTTCTTCCCCCAAGGGGTAACAGAGATTATGAGGAGCCCAATACCCCACCAGTTTTTCATCACAGTGACACCTTCCTCTTAGCGAGGACGCTCTCTCGTACACCCAGAGCTTTCCTTCCGCACAAGGTCCTCTTGACCCGACAGGGTAACAGGAGTCGGTGTCGGGATGGTAGAGCTGCCCAGTGTTACTGCAGGGCACTCGTGCACATTTGCCCACACCCTCCGCTGCCGCGGTGTCGGGTATCAGGAACTCTCCTGACCTGCACACCGCTCTAGTGTATGCCCTCTGGCACGTTCCTGTACCAACATGGAGCAAGTGTCCATGAAGACAAGTGCACATGGGCTCTTTGGCACTCATCGGTAGTGAAAAAGTGTGGCCGTCTGGACAAGGTCCTTGTGTGTCCAGCGGGTAGCACTGGTCTGTTTCCCTGTGGTAATTAGAACTCTTAGAAGAGCTGCAACCACATTCAGTTTTCCTGGTGACGCTGTTGTAGTCGAAAACGTGGCCTGTCACGCAGGGACCTCGTGTGAGCAGCTCATGACAGGTCTCCGTATGATGCCAGAACTGCATCCGCATCAGGGACTGGTCACACCCACATGTCGGCCAGCCTGTTCAAGCACTCGAGTTCAATGAATTTAGCAACGAAAATCTTGATTACGATTGAAAAAACATTCATCAAAGTATCGCATGTCTCGTCTGTTTGACAGTTCATCCCATAACACAGCCTCTACAACATTTCGTATCGATGGGACCTGATATTATTTATATATGTTTAAATGAGCTACACACCTGTGTCGGGGTGGAGGTGTATGAGATCGCCGTGCTGGCAGGGCCCTTGCGTGTACTGACGATGACACTTCTCATCCTGCGGCCAGAACACGTCGCCCGCCACACACTCGTGGAAACCGCGACACTCGGCCTCATCCTCGGCTTTGCTGCTCGTCAAGTACTCCCTGCACGATAACAAAAAATATATTCTTGATATATATCTAGTTTTAGAGATTTGAAATGACATGTTATGAAAAGGGAACTGATGGTCTCGGCACGAGTGAAGATCAACTTGAAAAAATTCCTGAAACTTTTTAATTTTCGAGCACAATTTCTGGTCGGCCACCTGTACGAGGAAAGAAATATAGCTATTGAATAACTTTTACTATTACGAGTAATTGAAATTAAAAATAATCACCAATCCGGTTATTTTTTTGCCTGCTGTGTGTCCGACCTATCTTCGAAATACGCCGCCGCTCCCGAAATCTCATTCGAATTGGGTGATAATTTCGGCAATAAGCAACTTATTTTATCTCTTCATGTTTTATCCACGTCAGATCACTGATTTTATTCGGCAAAAGCTTTGGTAATCGAATTTATTCGATAAAACTGTTTGGAAATCAAATATAAGATTTGTGGATTAATTTAACAATTCTATTTCGTAATTTGCGATGTTTCAGCGATAATTAATTCTGATTCACCCATACCGTTGTTCATGTTTCCATGTTGTGTATACTCATGTTAAACGCTACTACCATGGTGGTCGGTACCATCATCTGGAGCTAGCAATCAACGCTCAAGGTTTTGCTAAATTTTTCAAAAAGTCCTAATAAAATTTTTATACGTTTCGGTGCCCCGATTAAAAATGATAGGCGTAGTTGCAGAGGCCGCTGCATAACCGACTACTGGCCAACATTGATGTGGCCCAGTTTCTTGTCAGTGTGTGAATGACTCGCGACATTTCGAGCAAACGATTCCAGGCTCATAATGGAGACACCGCAAAGGTCGATGCAAATGTTTTGCTAGTCGCGTGTCTTCCCTGCAGTCTACGCTTATTTAACCTTTGCGAAATTGATGAAACTCTCGCTTTGTGGATCATATAATGTGCGACCTTCGCGCATCTCGTTTAAGTCATCAAGGTTTGGATCAAATGTCGAAAGAAGTGGTTGGCTGTGATCTTTCTAATTATTTATATTGAGCATAATATTTCACGTGACACGGTATATTTCAAGTTCTTCAGAATGACTTGCCTCATCATAAATTGCGCTACTCGGTTTGAAAAAACTTATCTTCTCTGACGAGTTCTGACAATTGGCGCTGCACCAACAGCGCAGTATGAATAGATATACAAACTATTGATTGCATGGAATGGGTGGACTTGTAATTTAGGCAGTGCCTAATGGCAAACTCACGGTATCCGATGCAATTTATAACGCGTTTCATTGGGGCCAAAATTCCTTTCGTTTGCTGTGGATCATCGTCTTCTGCAAGCATTTATACCAAATCTTCGATAATCTGTTGAACCATGTACGGGGCGATTCACGGAAACTTCCTGCTTTAGAAGTTCAACAAAAAAAGAACTAGTAGAGCTATCATTACAAAATAAATTTTATTGAAAAAAAATCACCGGAATTTTTTGTATCACTTAGTTTTAAAGATGAAAATGAACAAATGACGGCTCCCATTGTCAATGCATTCAATTTTTTTGAGGCAATTTTGAAGTTCGGATTTTTGAAGTTTTGTTCAACTCGCCGAAGCATATTGACGCGTGTATGTTGGCGATGGCTTGGCGTATGTTGTTCTTCAAATGAGGTAGGGTCCTTGGACAGTCACTGTGAACAATTGATCTAAGATAACCCCCACAGATAATTTGTAGGGATAAAATTGTAGTTTTTTGTAGAATATTCGTACCACACTGTTTTTCGAAATCCCCAGAATAGCAGCATGTTTACCTATACTAAACGGTGTGGAGAACGACGAGACGTTTTTCTAACTCTCTAAGTTAATTTTTCGGGTGTTGTGGCTGTCCGCTGACCTCCAGACCCTCTTACATGCACACTTCTACTCGCTCTAAATCTGTTCACCAGCGTAACAAGTGATTTCCGATCAGGAACCCGACCAGAAGGACAAATACGGAACCTAGTACGGAATGCTCGTTGAGTAGCGATAATGGAACGGCCATTAGAAAAGTGCGCCTAGCTCGACAGCAATTGCACGATGCTCACTTGTCCAATGCATAGTGGCAACTGACTAGTGACTAGGCGGGACTGACCCTGCCTTTCATTTGAAATACTCTTCGCCCTTTTTCTACAACATCTGGCTGCTTGGCGTGAAATACTTAACAGGCGATTTACATGAATCACCCTGTATATAACGAGCGCGCGCACATTTTCTTCATGTTTATGTGCGAATAAACACAAGGAAATAGTACTCTGCCTCAAATAAATTGCAAGCTATTTAAGTCTTTTAAATACTCTGAAAATTTGCTATAGAAATATCTACGTTATTGAATATGACGCAGTACCTATTTTTCAGTGAATGAAATAAAATCTTCTGAAATTGAATACCCGCACCCGATGCGGTGGATTTGCTCTTTAATCGCCGCCTGCAAAAAAAGGCAGGCCAATCTCTAATTTTTGCGACCTCCGTGAATGGAATTGTATTGAGAACGCACCGTGGAGCTAGGGGATGGATGGCTTTCATCGGACGCGTCTTTGTTCACATGAATGAAACTGATATTTTTGAGCACAAAACAAGCAGTGAGAGTGAAAGCTCTCCTAAGAATTGCGTGGCCCTCCATTGACCTTGCGCCCGACGATCTTTCTTTGTTATTATACTCCATGAGATCACCATCACCATTCAGGGTGAATTCACTGCACACAAAACGCCAGTCTAAACTGCGCTTCTGTGGACTTTGTTTAAACAAGTCCAAATAATGACTTTTTCATAAGATTGCAGTTTAATCATAAGATTGAACTATAAGGTAGAAGAATATTCTATTACATTTTTCTAGCTTTCAAAAAGACGTCAAAATAGTCCCGACACAAAACTTTTAAGTTATCACTGCGCGAAACTTTTGTTTCAAATTTCTTATATTTTGCACGCTTCAATGACCTCTATTAATAGAGTAACTTGAGTTGCATTAATTTCGTGGAAATCCTCAGATTATTATTTATAGATTGTTTTGAGTGGTCACAGTGCACCGCGACTTTGTTCCGCTATTCTAAAAAATCCATATTACTGCTGCCCTGTCATAAAAATTTAGGTCGCTGCTTGGCCTGCTATCACAACTGCTATAGGCATTTGACGTTAATATGAAGTTAAGTGATGATTGCAATCACCGTAAAGATTATAATCAACATAAGGATAGCGATCCTATGTCCTGCTATGTAGGCGATCAGAACAGTGCTCAGTTCTCCTGGCTAAATTATCGATGGTAAATGGACTGCCAGAAATTGCGGTGCCTGAATCCATGTTCATGGTTTGTGTAGCTTATTTCTGGATATAATTATTTCCATATTTTTGGCTGTTTAGTTTCCATCAATGTTTTATGTGCGAATTAACAAAACAATTATCGAAAAATTATCAACAATTATCAAAGTTTGATGTGTAAAATGTGATATATGTATGTAAACGACCTTATCGTAATAACGAATAATAGAAACAAAGAATAGGCTGAGTTGTTTGATTTACTTGTTTCTTTTCATTACAAGTAAGAAAATATTTATTTTTCCTAAACAAATGCTGGAATATTTTCGATTAGTAATAATTTCAGAGTTTAATGATAACTGTTATCAGTTGCACGAGCTCCTGTTACTTCATAATGTCGCCATGCTGTGATGACACTGTAGTGATGGTTACGTCCATACTCGGCCTTCATCACAATCATGGTTATCGTGATGGTGGAAACAGTTAACGATGCATTCACCGCAATGTCACTCGCTCATCAAGGTCTACAATTAATGACGAGCGTTTTTACGGCCACGCCACCCCCGGCCTTTGTGTATATTATCATTTTTGTATACGTACGTTTCATTTTGTGGTATGGGTTTTTGACAACACCTAATGACATAGCCTCAATTGGGAGGACAGGGCCTTCCTATCCTTATTTATTTTCATTTATAGTGAGAAAGATAAAGTAAAATCAATTTATGCACCAACGATGACGTTTGGTAGGAATGTTTCAATTCCCTAATGCCTATATTTACTGAGGATGCAGAAGGGTTTTTCTTCAATATTCACTACAATTTAATAATAGTTTATGAATTTATGCAGCATATATTATCTCATAAACAATAACTATTTAATGTTAGAAAGCTGGGGTGTCTTTACTTTCGTGAAGCAGTGCGTGCACTGCGTGTGCACGAGTCTCTGTATGTATGAGATCGCCGTGACTACCAAACCATGAACTGCGTGACGATGTGTCTTCGTCGTACGCAGGCGATGCTTGTAAGATACGCTGTATCTCAGTGTACTGAACTGATCGATCTTATAGCATCTCTTTTAGCAGCATGCGATCAACCAGGAATCTCAAGACGCAACTAATTGCTGAATACACGATGCAACTGCCATGAATAGGACGAATGTCATGTATGCTAATAAAATGTCGTTATTGCCATGAAAGTTCTGAGTTAAATGAATGTTGTAACGGTCTTTAATGCTTCAAACACCAAGAATAATTTTCATTTCACGGCCACAAGTGCACCACGTGCGGACCTGGGATTGCACGGCCCTAGCTGTGGCGTGGTCTTGATAGCAGCGGCAGCGGTAAATTTGAAACTAATTGAAGTTCATGAATGTTATTACTGCAATGAATGCGTCAAAATTCATTAATGTTCTGAATATTATTCCTTTAATTGAGACAAGCGCGGACACTGACCTGAGCTTGCAGGGCCCTCTGGTGTAGGCCTGATAGCAGCGGCCGCGGTAGCGCAGCTTGCCCTTCTCACACCGACATCTGGCCACCCCTCCAGCGTGGTACACCTCCTCACCTTCATCGCAGGGACCCTGCACCAACACACCCGCATCTCATGCCACTATCAAATATTAGTTCCTATACGTACTGAATAGTATTGTTCGCCGTATCTCATTCTATCATTAACAATTATTTCATAAACCTATATGAGAGATATCCTCGTACTGAGTACGTAGTATTGTTCTCCGTATCTCATGCTATCATTAAAAATTTTTCATTAACCTAGATGAGAGATATTATTTTTCACCAAACATAACACAGCAACGGACGTTATAGTTATAACGTTGAGCCCAGCAACAGAGACCTGTTGCGACGTTATGGTTTGCTACAAACACTTGTCACCTATAGGATCTGGCGGCTAACACCTGTTTCGACGTAGCCCAAGTAACACTTCTATCAGGACGTAGGGTAGCATTTGCGGAGAAATTTACACCGCTGGCAGCGTCGAGTTATTGACTAGTTATAAGGGTGATGTAAAACTTCCATCTATATCTTCTTGACCTTTATTTTATCATTTAATGAATTTAAGACCAAATTTTAGTATTCTGAACTTACTCACTATTGCACATGCAATGCGATAATTTATTATCTTTGTATTCGATATTCTTATGAGATTTAAGGCAACGCCCGTACTGACCTGCGAGAAGATCTTGTAGCATTTGTCGTGCTGAGGCCAGTAGAGTAGTTGCCAGGAGCGTATCGCGCAGGGGTTCACTGTGATGTTGGCCCAGGCTGGGGGTATGATGGCAGCCTGTGCCCCGACGGTGATGGTCTTCCCCAGCTCCTGGGGATCCTTGTGCTGTAATAAAGTCCCCTTGGACACCCAGCGGAGGGCGTCGTGTATGTCCCTGACGCTGACGAGGCTGTGGGTGCACGACAGTAGCAGGAGGAAGCTCCACGGCAGCCATGTCAGCCCCTGACGACCTGCCGTGGATCTGTTGGCGCTGCTGGTCCACATCGTCTTCTTGGGTCGTAATATTTGTCCTTGTGAAATATTTGACTTTGATCCAGATCTGACTACATGCGACGTGATATATTCTACTGCTAAACTTGGTTTTATTTGGTATATTAATGGTATTTTATACACTATGTTCACACAGAAATATTGTAATAACAACTCTACTTTTCTGCGCGTGAAGATAAAAAAAGCTAGGAACATGAACGCGAGATCACTAAAAATAGTTAGAAATGAATTTATTTCAGTCGTACTGCCTTCAACAACTTCTGTTCTCCCAGCCTTCAACATTGTTGCTTGTGTTGTACTTATCTCCTCTCCACTCGTCATTCTTCTGTGCTTCATGTCCTCGTTCTTATTTTTAACTCCCGCTCGTAAAGTGTCTAACATTTTTATCGCTTTATATCCAGCGATATTAGAATTTGTAATACTCGTGCTGAACTTTTTTGTTGAGAAGTTGCTATTTAAGGCACTTTTTTTGCTAAACATCATGAGGTTGCAGAGCGTGTCGGCCTGTGAAGGTCTTGTTAGCGTGGCGTCTCTTCCTTGCTGACGCGGCAGTATAGCAGCGCCACCAACGCGCCTGGCTTCCTGCATGTCAGGCTTGACCTCGGCAGGCTCGGTTCTTAGCTCGATTTTATAAGGGGGAAATTATTCGTCGTTTGATTTGTTCGTTATTAAGTTGTTTATCGTTAAATTTGGTTGTCGTTGAAGTTGTCCTTCGTTTAGTTTTGTTCGTGATCGAAGTTGTACTTAGCTAAATTCGTTTTATATTGGTTACTTTCTTACTAGAACTTAGCCATTGTTGAAATTATTCCACGTGTTCTTGTTCCTGAGTTCAACGCTCTTTGACGTCAGCCTTCAGCTCCTGAATGACCATCCGCAATCCGGAAATATTGCGTATATTCTGAGGTATAACTTCATTCCTGCACATACAGTAGCAACATTCCTTCTCTGTTCTCGAGGAATTTTCCTATTACATTATACCTCTCGTACCACTGCTCTGATTATCCCCCATGGGTGTTTTCTGGTGTCAAATCTCTTCGTAAAAAGTGGATCGTATTTTCTCTGGGTCGTTATCCTTGGTGGTCGCTGCTCTGATCTCTTCAGAGCCTTCTGACTCTATCGGTCGTCTCCGATGCTAGAGAGCATCACCCGTAGACGCTTTGTGTTGTGATTAATTATTAATAATTGATAATTTAATGTCTTTGTGTAGTTGTTCTAAGGAAAGTTTCTTTCTCGCATGTTTATGAATGCCTGTTAACACAGCGCATTAATTGCTATATTTGTCGCTACGCCGGCAGTAGATGCAACACGAACTCTCTTCAACACTTGAATTTCAATTCCAGTTCAGATGTACCTGCAAAAAATTGGCGACGTTAGTCGGATACTCGATGAAATCGAAACTCGCGCGATTTTTGATCATCTATCGGCAGACTTCATTAATATTTTTTCTCAAATAAACAAGCACTGAACTGAAAGTCAACTAGCGAAGTTGAAATTATATTTTAAGTTTTAATCGTAAGAAGACCTTTTAAGAAAGGCAAACAGAAACTGTTACTCCAAGGAGCAGTAGCCACTGAAAACTTGGAAAAAAATATCAAACGTTTCCTTGAGAACTTGTATTTAAAGATCATTTGGAAAAGGCAAACATAAAATGTAGACTCCTGCGTTTGGCATTTTGTTTATTCCGAGACGAGACGAGACGAGACAACAGGCTCTGTCCCGGTTCGTAATAAAAACCGGGACAATTTTCAGCCCTCCGTAGGAATTCCGGGACGATACCGAGACGAGACGAGACATCCCGGTTAAAATAGGCACCTTAAAATTTCCCGGAATTTATAGCCATTTTAACGAGACATAATGAGACGAATCAATTATTGATGTGGTATAAACTTTGGCTTACCATCATACATTTATACAGAGCTGGGCAGCGCTACTTTGAAATATAGCGGCCGCTACCGCTACATGCTCTAAATGTAGCGGGCGCTACCGCTGCCGCTACAATTGCTTAAATGTAGCGCCGCTACCGCTACCGCTGCAAGTGCTTAAATGTAGCGGCCGCGGCCGCTACCGCTACAATTGCTTAAATGTAGCGCCGCTACCGCTACCGAAAATGTAGCGGCCGCTACATGTAGCGCGCTACTGCCCACCTCTGGACTAACAACTAACATGTTGATACTAGTAACAGTAACTAGTAGTAACAGTAGTAACTAGTAACTAGTTAATTAATAAAATCAATTCCTTTTTTTTTGTTGGAATGGTGAGTGTGGTAGGCCTTTATTAAAAAAAATAGTAACAGGCTGAGGTTGACAACATTACACCGAAAACTTTCGTACAGTTTTATTCTGTAATTCATATTATGTATGTATCATGCTGGTTTTTAAATAATATTTAATACTATTAAGTAAAACCTAAAGGCTTTATCTATAAATGTAGCGGTAGCGCTGTAGCGGCAAAACCTCGTATCGCTACTTAAATATGTAGCGGGCGCTACCGCTACAATTGCTTAAATGTAGCGCCGCTACCGCTACTGAAAATGTAGCGGCCGCTACATGTAGCGCGCTACTGCCCACCTCTGCATTTATATAATAACTTGAGACGTATCCTTTTACTATTCGGATTGGAGCTCGGCAATTGAAATGATTTTTGCTACGAATACATGTTGTGGTTTAATATGGTACTTAATCTTGGCAGGCAAATACAAATGGAAAAACACGTTTTTTTCAAAAATTGTGTTCTATATGATGGTTTGGAGGAGGCCATACTTGCTGTAGATGGTGACATCGGCTATCTGGACAGACTTTGATTTGCCTTAAGCAATCTCCTTCAACAAAAAGTTTGAAAAGAAATATCAACAACATTTTAAAATACAACAAAATTTAAGTTGGAAAAAATATAATAGGTTGATCTTCAAAAAATAACTCGAAATATCCATGTGTATCCTTTCTAAATAACGTTAAACAAGCCCAAGTGTTTGATAACAATTTAGGAAACTGCGCAATTGTGAAGATTTCCTAGAGGCGTAGCACAAAATTTTACTAAAGGCAGAGATAATCTAAAACTAGCTTTAGTATTATTAGGAATATCTTACCAGGACTCCACTCCACTGTCTACTAATTGGCCGACTAATCTAGACACTGCGTCCCTACTCCCTGTGCGCTCCACGGCGCCTGAACTCGTTCCTAACGCGTAATAAACTCGACTCATATTCGTACGATTCCCATAAGTGCCATCGAAGCCTTAGTTAAGACTTAAGAGTAACATTTTCGACTCAATACTCAGCCATGCATACATCGACAGGTTTGCGGTGTTTGTCGGACCACTAATTTTCGTTTCAAATCTGTCTGTCTCGTCCCGGTTCATAATTTACCGGGACACAAGTTTTAAAGTCCGGGACAGAAGTCTTGTCTCGGTTCATATGTTTATTCCGGGACAAATTTTACCCTCTGTCCCTTATTTTTTTCCCGGAATTTTCTCGTCTCGTTTCGTCTGTCCCGGTTCATTTCGAGAAAATTATTTCGAGACGCAGGAGTCTAATAAAATGTTTCTTCAAGGAGATGTATTCAAGGACCATTTGGAAAGGCAGCAGAAGGCGTTACGTCATGGAGCAGTGCTGTCGTTGTAAATTTTGTTTTTCGTCAACAAAATTGGCATAATTTACCTTGAGTGAGAAGCCTGATAAAAATGACCCGTTTTTCACTTCTAGAATGGTGTAAAAAATAAAAGGAATGTAATAACGATATTTCATTCTGGGGAACCTTGAGCTATTTTATATTGTTTGTTCAGTGTCAAATATAACGTAAATAGTACGTAATTACGCTTGCTGTCTTCTTTGATATTCTAGCAGGTATTTAATGCAAACCTCATCAAAAGTTATTTAAATAAATCAAGCCTTAAATTTACTGACGGTGATTATTAAATCAAATCCTTCTTTAATGAGCCGTTATCATATTCAGATACAGACACATGCTTCTGGGTCCTGTAATAAAACACTTGAATGCGGACACATTTGCTGATTTACTGAACACCGAGCTAATTTTATAGATAAAACGGATACTACTGGAGTTACTGTAGTTATTGTGCTGATGTGAACGGTATCGAGATCAAGGTGATGCGGGAACTAGGAAGTGTAGAGCGCGATGCTCGATAATTTGCCTCGTTATCAGAACCTCGAAGCACTGCGAGCTTTAAGGGGGAGTTTGCTCGAGCCTTATCTTGTAAGTTCTATATGAATGTCGTCCGAGTGCAAAATATCGCAGAGATTATATCTGCAGGAAAATCAATGTTGACTTTTAACGGTATAAATAACCTTCTGGTGAACCAGTGTTGCTTGGGGCCGATAATTCCAGGGCCGAGTCTAGATCGAGTCCATTCAATATCTCACTGTCGAAAGTAGAAGATCAAAACGGTTTGAATCCTAATTTTCATTGCAGTGTTTGAGCCACATCAAACGCGCATTCCCTCTACTTAATTGGGGGTGAGGGTCTATGTCAAGTAAAATTATTTTTCTCATGTCGCCACTTCCCGCAGCAGCAATACAAATCAAGCACCTCACCACCGAGAAATGTCCGTTGATGGAAATATCATGGACGTGTTATGTGCGGCCAGTATTTATCGGATGGCCGGCCGTCTTTACTTCGCCAACCATCGTGGCAGTCGAGGCTGCTTGCATGCCTCATGTCGACAACATGACTAGGCAGGTCTCATCTCCCGACACTGCGTGGTGTATTCAAATTATATATTGCAATCTAGTTGTTGAATTATTTTTATTCGTGTGTCGTGAGCCATGAACCTGATCTCGATCCATTTGTCTGGACATGAATCTAATCGTGGATAATGAAACCATCGGCAGTAAAATTATGCTGGGTTATCAGTTCATACAGCCGCTTCAGGACGAAAGCGATGTTATTTCTGGCGCATTATTATAATTTTGGATCGTAAAGGTCGAACGTCGAATTTTTAAGTATATAATTGTGGAAATGTATCGGTGTAAATTGGGAATTGTTTTCAGAAAATAATACTTATGGGATACAAAAAAAATAATTCCGTGCAGTGTTTTTTTCAATTCATTTCATTTTGAACGAAGCAATTTCTACTTATAAGGAATTGAAATTAAGTTTTATGCATTGAAAAAAAAATGATTAAATTCGTTAACAGCACCCATTTAGTGACAAAGACTGGCTTGCTTTGTTCTATTTATGCCACATTGTTATTATATTTTGCCTTTGTGTTAATGTGTCTGCTGCATGAACCATTATTCTCACGAATACTCGTTTTAAATCAAGAACTGTTGTTAAGGAGCGCTCCCTGCAGCCAACGCAGAAATATCAAGGTCATAGACGCGGTCCTGTAGTCTGTTGGATTTTGGGTGCGGTTGAATGCTTATTATAGCTTCTTCTCAAACGCTCATCGCTTCAAGACGTGTGATTATTATTATTATAATGAGTATCCAGATTATTTTTTGGCAGTGTTCAGTTTTCTTTCAAGTTTATAGTAGAATAATGATTCTGGAAGAAATTACTTAGTGCAATCGTCAAGCAGCTTCTGCATTTGCAGTCCTGCATCTGAATAAGCTCATATCGTAAAAGCTCCACAACGATTCATTATTTACAGTAAAATTTTCACGCGAATCGTTATTAGTTTTAGTCATTTTACGTACAACATAGACTCGCTGCGCCGAGTCACTTTTGAATTGCTCGCAATTTACTTCCCAGTCTGTATTTAGTTACGCAGAGAAATGTTCTGCGGCATTTCCAGGAAATTGTTAACGATTTCAGTCTCTTTACCCAAACATATGTGAATGGTTAAGTACAGTTCAGCGGTCCACTTCCTCATTTGGCGGTTTTGTCACGTAGAAAAGTTCGACAATACTGTCACTAAACGTTCTCTTTTGGTTACTTCCTTTTGGCGTTCGCATTTATCTGCCGTATTATGCTCTCTTCGAACTAGTGTGACTGTTGAGGCAATTCGTAAGTCTTTAAGTCGCCTGCGGTGGCCGGAAGATCGCGCCTGAAGTATTTAAGTCGAGGTCGCTTATTTTCGTCACTTTCATTTGTGAACCACAGACTTCATGAGAACAGCCTTCCGCTTTATCGTGACTGGCCGATCAAACTTTCTTGCATGAGAAAAAAGTATGATGCTCGTGAAATTATTATACTTTAGTAAGCCATAAGAAGGGATTCCAGTGCACTGAAATGTGTCGTGTTAACATCATGTTCAGCATTACGTACCGCAGGATATACAGTGGGGGGAAATAAATATTCGTACACTTGAAAAATCGTATTTTAATGTATGTAAGTACTACTATGCGTCTCTATACATAATTTAAATCACTTTTCCTGTTAAGTTTGTGTACTT